ACGTCGAGCCACTACCGCAAAAAGACGACTTGTTGGACAGGGTGCAAGGATGTAAGTATTTTTCAAAGATAGATTTGAAGTCGGGCTACCATCAGATCGAGGTAGAGCCCAAAGATCAGCACAAGACAACTTTTAAGACCCATTATGGCCACTATGAGTTTGTAGTAATGTCGTTTGGGCTGAAGAATGCCCCTGCCACATTTCAGACAAGTTTGTTGTCACTTATATGAACGATACTCTGATTTATAGCAAGACGTCAGAAAAGCATCAGGAACAACTTCGTCTGATCTTGAGTAAGTTGCGCGAGGTTAAGCTCAAGTTGAACCCACAAAAGTGCGAGTGGGTTGAGCGCCAAGTTCTGTATCTCGAACATGTCGTAGATGGGGACCGAGTTAGACCAGAAGATGCTAAGATAGCAACAATTGGAGACTGGCCGACCCCGCATACGCTCACAAAACCGCAGTCATCCCTAGGTCTGGCCAACTACTACCGGAAATTTGTGCGTAATTTCACTACCGTTGCTACACCGCTGCGTAGAATGCTGAAAAAAAAGAATGTTTGGAGATGGGATAAAAATTGCCCTTTCCAGTTCAAGAAGCTTAAGAAGTGGTTGATCAAGTACCCGGTCCTCAAGATAGCAATCTGTTTCTTTTGTTCATTGTCACGAGTGACGCAAGCCAGTATGGCATTGGTGTCGCGGGGTATAGGCCAATCGAATTCATGTCCTGCAGACTGCCTACTGACACTTCGTCCACTAGACAGGTGTTCGACCACTAGTGAGAGAGAATTGTACGCAATTAGACAGGTGTTTGACCACTAGTGACATTATCTCCTAGGCTGACACTTTGAAGTGTATTATGATCACAAGACACTTAAGATGGTTGAAAACACAGGTGCAAGGCAAAAGGCCTCAATAAGCCCTATTGGGCCCCTATTTGCAACAGTGTCGGCCGCCCTTAGTGAAGGCAGGCTCGACAGACGACAAGAGGCCTATTTTGGACTACTTCGCAACTGGGGGGAAATTCAGGCAGTTCCGCAGCGCCAGTTGGTTGAAAGCGCCCAGGCCCTGGCCTCCTTTATCAAATGCATCTGAGTCAGGCCCTGAGTGAGATACGCAGCATGGACCCAACTCAAGCTGCGGGCAGTTGGGCACAGGTAACTGTCACAGGCCTTGGGCCTGATCCGTTTGGTCTGGGGCTCAACCTCTCTCGGCCTACCGGAAGCTTCTAGGCAAGGGCCCAGCGCAGCCAGGCTACACACAAGGCAGGCAGGCCACTTCCATTTAGGAAAGGGCCTGCACACGCATTCGGCATTCAGGCACTGGCTACATGCTGCGCAAGCGCTGCTGCGTTAACGCTGGCCAGCGCTCACGCGCTCACGGACGAGCTGGAAGGAGCAGGCAGCCATAGCCGAGTTCCGCTGCTGTATGCTGGATGGGGCGCATGGTGGTCCTTGCGTGCATGTGGCATCTGTGAGTTGGGGAACGAGGCTGTGAGTGATACGAAAGACATACCTGGTGCTTGAAGCGTATGACATTGGTCAAGATCTGCTCGTACTTCGGGGAGTTGTTGACGTCATCGACGACATTGTAGATTAGGCTAGATAGGATGTGCCATCTGTAGTCTGGGCGCCGAGCGCCAGATAGGATATCGACATTGGTTCTTCGTTGATGATGATGAGACCATTCCAACATTGTCAATTATGAGCTCCTGTTGTGTTCTTATTTGGTGGAACTCGTGATGCAATTCTGCTATTGGTTCGAGGTCACGACTATCTGGTCTCATGTGTATAATGCTGTTTGATTTCTGAAGTTTGCTATCGCTCATTTTTCCTTGCAATTTGGTATCGGAGCAGTGGTACGGTGCGCTCATCTGGCGCTTGTCTTCTGCCTTTGCAGTACATGCACGCGGTCTGCTGGGCGAGCGGCCATGGGAGGTGTGTACTGAGGAGGGTGGAGACAAGTGAGGCGACCCAGGAGGTGAGGGGTATCGCCACGAAGGCTACTAAGTGGTGAATATTGGGTGTTCGCAGTGTGATGAGAACTATCTGATGTGTAATTGACGCTGAGGTGGAACGGTGGTGCAATGCTGGTTGTGCCGAAGCAGCGATTGGTCATCACAATCAACATCGGGTCATCTGGTGAGAATATCTATGGTTGGGGGCAGCTATTTTGAGGTACGTTGCACCTTATCTACCCTCTTCGACACTTCTAGCCGTAAGGATGTGTGTTCTGTCTTGAGAGTCCTCTCATGTGAGAATCGCCAGCCTTCACGTGGAGCATCTGGAAGGAGAGGGCGGTGCTATCTGAAGGGACCTGGACGAGGCACTGGGTCACGGTCGCCATGCCAACCCACCGGGATTAGAGCACGCATGCTTTGCTGCTTTGTCTTGTGTCTGCTCGCTGCGCTGTAGAGGGGTTCTCAAGGGCAGGCCAGCCCTATGGGAAAGACGAGACCGGGAGTCTATAAATAAATACCGGCGGGGACTTTCCATTGGCTGTGATCGTCGTTGACGGTATTCACCAGTTCGTAGTAGCTGATGCAGATCCCAGGGCTCGATCCCTAGTCCCCACCTTACCGGTGTACAGTACCTGTGTCAACCCGTAGAGTTGAACCCGCGACCTTTAGGACTGCCAGTGGTAGGTAGGTCGTCATAGGTTACAGGGTATAGGGCATTCGAACTGTAGACCTGTCGGGTAGGAGTCTAGAGAGTCTAGAGGTCTTATCTGTAGACTTTCCGAAGGGTCAAAGTCGTAGCTGCTACTTACCTGAAAGGGCAGAGTCGTAGCTGCTACAGTACCGAAAGGCCAGGTAGATGTTTTTGGAAGTGGCCTTTCGGAGTCAGCCCACTGTAGGTCAAGGCAAGTGAGCAAGTGGCGGAAGTCCACCGTGCAGAGTCAGCAGTCCCAGTCCAATCAGTCCGGTCCAGTCAAGCAAGTACCGCCTGGGACTGTGTACACCGTGGGCCAGGGAAACAGGGCAGACCAACGAGTCACAGAAGTATAAATCAAGAGGCCGCGCACAGCCATTCATTCATTCCTGYGGAAGCCATGCGGAAGCGCTGTCTCAGCGGCTTGTGCTGAGGAGGTCTGCAGTGTGCCCGAAGTCAAAGTGGGCCAGGAGAGCTTAGCATAGCGATAGCGTAGAGGCAGTCACGGCTGCCATAGCTGTAGCTGGTGTGTGTGGGTGATGTGTGAGTGTTCGGAGTGATGCGTGTGGGATATCCAAGGTGATCCGGTGTGTGAACAGTGAGTTGTTGGGCGCTGAGTCGCCATAGCCAGTGGAAGCGAACTCTGATGTGGACACCATATCTCCGTGTTCTGTGTGGCCGCATGTCGCCAGTTTGCTGTGCTGCTGCTTACACGCATGAAAAGTGTGAATGAGACGAGTCTGATTGCATTGGTATCGGAGCTGGTACCCGCTATTCCATGCGCGCCGTCGTGTGCAAGTACTAAGGCACCATAGCGGAGGTGGCCGCCGAGGGACACAGTCCGCCATAGCGGACCTGAGGTTGGAGAAGCCGCCGCGCACCTGCAAGAAGACC